AAGTGTCATTTCCAGTTGCAATGTTTCCAGATGTGGCCATTATGTGTTGCTCCCAGATACAATGTTTCGAAATGTGCCCATTAAGTGTCACTCCCAGTTGCAATTTTCCAAATGTGGACATTAAGTGTCACTTCCTGTTACAATGTTATCAAATGTGGTCATTAAATGTCACTTTCAGTTACATACAATGTTGTCAAATGTGGCTATGATCCACTCCCAGTTGCAATGTTTCCAAATATGACCATTAAGTGTCACTTCCAGTTACAATTTTCCAAATGTGGCCATTAAATGTCACTTTCAGTTGAAATGTTTCCAAATGTGGCTATTAAGTGTCACTTTCAGTTGCAATGTTTTTAAATGTGAAGTTCAAAAATAGATAGATTGATTTTTATTTTGCATATAATGTAAATATTAATTTACTTGTCAACACAAGTGACAACCATACAGTGTGACTTTTTTGCACAGTAATTGAAATCATTATTGCGAAAGAAAATACATTTATTATGCGCATATTGTAATTATTTACACATCATAACACATGAAACAGTAAAATACTGACATCACCAATTAGAAAACAATTATCTAATGTAAATTAGCAGCTATGAGGCTGTAGTTTGTAATCTCAAAGAAGTCACAGCTGATCTGAATTCGTAATAGTTGATATTTATGTACAATTGTATCACTATCAGGTTTGAAAAATATTGTTTTAAAGGAATATTCCCATAAAAGACTATAAGCTCAATAATTTGAGAAATGACATGATAAAAGCAAACAAACAAACATGTTCTAGGTACAACAATAATATATATTTCTGCAAAAATTAAAGTTAAATTCTCAAAGCTTAGATGACATTTTCCTCGCAGTTCCTTCAGCCAAGTCCAAGAAAAAGTCTGGTGTGAGAGTTGAACCTAAGATAAACAAAGTTTAACATAATTGATTTCAGTAGAACTGAATAACCTATTTATATATTACCTTTGGTGTAATACCAAGAAGTTATACGAATTAAGAACAAAAATTGTATTGTACAGTTATATATGTGATCATTCATATAATCAAAGACCATTCACCCATAATGCATTGCAAAGTAAATATTCAAGACAATTTATCACATGAAAATAAGCAGCCAAACATTGTAGAAGATCATTCCGTGATTTTTCAACTTAGTACTTCTACGAATTTTTCAAAAGATGGTGGAACATAAGAGTCTGGTGAAATAAGATCTGTGTGCCCATCAATGAAACATATTTCTAACCAATAGTACATCATTAAACACAGTGTGATTACATAAACTGAAATGTAATTATCACTGTATTAAAAAAAGTACATAATGCTTTGTGAATAAAAAATAAGGTTGGACATCTTTAATTGTAGATGTAAATGAATAAATATGAATTAATTGGTATATTGCACATGTGTTAGGAAAAAAATGAAACAGCCATTGCATTCCAGAGTAACTGAACATCATGGCCATCAGTCATAAAAAACAAGAGGTTCACCTACAATTTTTGGCATGATCACCATACCAGATGAAATTTGATAGATTCAAAAAAAGCACAATTCTGTGATCAGTTGCAACTTTAGAAGAAAATTAATTTTGAAATTCTACCTAGTACATGGTAAAATTTCTAAATATTCAAGTATTTACACAATATTCAAACATGTAATGCCTGAGGGCTATGGTGTTATGCTTAGAAGAACAGTCGCATCATTGTTTACTTTTCTCTGGTACACAAAAACATTTAAAATTTATTTAGGTTTTATTAAATCATCTACTCACCTGGACAAACAGCATACTGCTCAAAATCAGTGACACCAACATCAGCTAATACATCATCATCAATACAGAAGTTTCCAGTAAATTCTCTACTGTATTTTGTAAGCATCACATATGCGGCATCCGCCATAATTTCTACTTTACGACTCATTTTGTTCATTTCTTCTCCACCAATCATGTTAAGTGCAGCTGTTCTTATTGCTACAAAATAAAAACCATGAACAATATTTATTTATTTCAAGCATCACATGCATATATAATACTGGACTGTAAATGACAGTGATGTATTTGTCTTCATAATAAATCATATGATCCTGTATACAATCAATGTAATTTGGGGTTTATCTGTAATAAATCAATCAATCAATAATATTAATTATTTTCCCACAATCAGTATACCGGTAATATTATTTTAATTAGGATCTTCCATCAAACAGATGACGCTTGTTCAAATCCTCTGAACAATATTGTTACATTGTATTTGTATAGTCTTACTGAATGGTTGTATGCAGATACCATGCATATGATATACCGGTAAGTATTTGTATATAGTTACCAGTTCTTGGCCAGAGTGCATTGACCGCTATACCATCAGATCTGAATTCTTCAGTCATTCCCAGCACACACATTGACATCCCATATTTAGCCATTGTGTAGGCTAGTGAAAAACACATTAAGTAAATTGTGAGTCGCAGCAAATAGTATTACATATATATATGTGATGTATTGACAAAATAGAATTCTATTGAGGATGTAATACATATACATATATATGTAGTGTTCTTACATCCACAATATCCCAAGTAACAAAGTAATGCACACTCACCAACATGATTCTTAAACCAATCTGGATTCATGTTAATAGGAGGACTAATATTTAGTATATGAGGATTTCTACCCTTCAATAAATGAGGTAAACACAGCTTGGAACTGAAAAAAAGAAATGTTATTTTGTGAACTAGTAGCTTCGCGATGAGTAGCTTTCGCAGTAAGTGGTACTTTCATCGCAGTTGAGGATTTATGTTTTATGTGTCTTTAACAACTGGTGCAAACCTGGAAATACCATCTTAGAAGCTGTTAATTCACCCCTAATTGTTAATTTGTGCAGTTGCTCTTGCAGGAGTTTCTAAATATGACCCATGCTCTGATAATGCCCCCTAGTTTCTAACTTTGCTTTGAAAAAAGAAATTGTGTATCACTGATGTAGTTACATTTTTGTGTATACCATAGGGTCCATGGTATCCATTTCTTACTGATTTGACTACACTATGTACTTGAAAGTTTCCAGTACTTGAATTCTGTGTTCTCCAGCATGATTATAGAATTGTTCGGAAGCATACAAATTTGGTTCATCAATACTGTATGATGACGCTATCTTCCGGCCGGCCCTACCTGTTATTCAGAGTCCCATGTTGACTA